CCCCAAGAGGGCCTCCAAAAACAATGATTATCCTGAGGTTTTTGAAGGATTTTGACATTTGCTTCTTTTCGGCCTTCCGACGGCCCGAGACGGCCCAAGAGCCCCCAAAGATCGCCCAAAGACCGCCCAAGAGGCCTCCAAGACGGCCCCAGAACGGCCCAAGAGGCCCCCAAGACGGCCCCAAGAGGGAACAAAGACGACCCAAGAGGCCTCCAAGACGCCCAAGATGGCCTCCAAGACTGCCCTGGAGCATTCCAAGAGGGCCCCAAGTCGGCCCAGAGAGGCCGCAAAAACGGCTTCCGACGGCGTCAGACGGGCCAGGAGCCCACCAAGATGGCCGAAGTTGGCTCGAAGCTGGCCCAGGACGGCCCAAGAGGCCTCCAAGAGGGCATCCAGGAAGGCACGAAAAGGCCAAAAGCATGGATTTCCCATGAGTTGTTGAAGGATCGTGGCATTTGCATTTTTTCGGCCTTCCGACGGCCCGAGACGGCCCAAGTGCCCCCAAAGATCGCCCAAGAGGCCCAAGACGGCCCCAAGAGGCCCCCAAGACGACCCAAGAGGCCTCCAAGACGCTCAAGATGGTCTCCAAGACGGCCCAAGAGACCTCCAAGACGTTCTCCAAGAAGGCCCGAAAGGGTCAAAATGGCCTCCAGGCGGCCAAGATGACCTTCAAGATGCCCACGTGTTCCCCGAAGGTTTTCCAAACCGATTCGGGGAACACATGGTCCTATAGCTTGGCAGGTCTGGCCTCAACGTTCGGCCACATAGGCACTTCCAAAAAGGCAGGGAGCGGCGGTGATTCGCCGCAGGCGTCTTCGATCCGCCGCCCCCTGTCGATTCAGCGCAGGGGTGCCTGACATGCTAAACCCTCTCGGTTTGGGTTTTGGTTCTTTTCCAAAAGAACTCCCCCTGGGGCTCCGGCGCGTCCCGCCGGGGTCCCGGGAGGATTGCCACGGAGCTCAATTCCCCAATTTTTTCCTCCAAGACGGCTCAAGATGGCCTGCAGGATGGCCATGTTGGCCCAAGATGGCCTCCAAGATGGTCCAAGATGGCCTCCAAGTCCGCCAAAGATGGTCCAGGACGGCCTCCAAGACGGCCAAGAGAGTCCAAGACGGCACAAGACGGCCCAAGAGGCCCCCCAGAGGCCTCCAAGACGGTCCAAGAGGCCTCCAAGAGTTCCTCCATGAGGGCCCGAGGAGGCCAAAATCATTGATTTTCCATTGGTTTTTGAAGGATTTTGACATTCGCTTCTTCTCGGCTTTCCGACGACCCAAGACGGCCCAAGAGGCCCTCAAGATCGCCCAAAGATCAGATCGCCCAAGAGGTCTCCAAGATGGCCTCAGGACTGGCAAAGAGGCCCCCAAGACGGCCCCAAGAGGGAACAAAGACGACCCAAGAGGCCTCCAAGACGCCCAAGATGGCCTCTAAGACGGCCCTGGGGCACCCTAAGAGGGCCCCAACTCGGCCCAGAAAGGCCCCCCAAACGGCTTCCGACGGCGTCAGACGGGCCAGGAGCCCACCAAGATGGCCGAAGTTGGTTCGAAGCTGGCCCAAGACGGCCCAAGAGGCCTCCAAGAGGGCCTCCAGGAAGGCCCGAAAAGGCCAAAAACAATGATTATCCTGAGGTTTTTGAAGGACTTTAACATACTTCGTTTGGGCCTTCCGACGGCCCGAGACGGCCCAAGAGCCCCCAAAGATCGCCCGAAGATCGCCCAAGAGCCCTCCAAGATGGCCCCAAAATGGCCCAAGAGGCCCCCAAGACGGCCCCAAGAGGGAACGAACACGACCCAAGAAGCCTCCAAGACGCCCAAGATGGCCTCCAAGACGGCCCTGGAGCATAGGGCCCCAAAACGGCTCAAAGAGGCCCCCCAAACGGCTTCCGACGGCGTCAGACGGACCGGGAGCCCACCAAGACGGCCGAACATGGCCCTAGGATGGCCCAAGACGGCCCAAGAGGCCTCCACGAGGGCCTCCAGGAAGGCCCGAAAAGACCAAAATCATGGATTTCCCATGAGTTGTTGAAGGATCGTGGCATTTGCATTTTTTCGGCCTTCCGACGGCCCGAGACGGCCCAAGTGCCCCCAAAGATCGCCCAAGAGGCCCAAGACGGCCCCAAGAGGAACCCAAGACTGCCCAAGAGGCCTCCAGGACGCTCAAGATGGCCTCCAAGACGGCGCAAGAGCCCTCCAAGACGTTCTCCAAGAAGGCCCGAAAGGGTCAAAATGGCCTCCAGGCGGCCAAGATGACCTTCAAGATGGCCACGTGTTCCCCGAAGGCTTTCCAAACCGATTCGGGGAACACATGGTCCGATAGCTTGGCAGGTCTGGCCTCAACGTTCGGCCACGTAGGCGCTTCCAAAAAGGCAGGGGGCGGCGGTGATTCGCCATAGGCGTCTTCGATCCGCCGCCCCCTGTTGGCTTGCCACAGGGGTGCCCGGCGTGCTGGATCATTTCGGATATGGTTTTGGTTTTTTGTTCCAAAACAACTCCCCCTGGGGCTTCGGCCCGTCCCGCCGGCCAGCCGAAAGGGATCTCAATCCCGGAAAAATCCCCCAAGACAGTTCAAGATAGCCTCCAAGATGGCCACGTTGGCCCAAGATGGCCTCCAAGATGGTCCAAGATGGCATCCAAGTCCGCCCAAGATGGTCCAAGACGGCCTCCAAGACGGCCCAAGAGAATCCAAGATACCTCCAAGTTCGCCCAAGAAGCCTCCAAGACGGCCCAACACGACCCCAAAGATCTCCAGGAAATCCTCCAGGAGGGCCCGAAGAGGCCAAAACCATTGGTGTTTCTTGGGTTTTTGAAAGGGTTTGGCATTTGCTTCTTCTCGGCATTCCGACGGCTGAAGACGGTCCAAGAGGCCCCCAAGATCGTCCCAAGATCGCCCACGAGGCCTCCAAGATGGCCCCATGACGGCCCAAGAGGCCACCAAGACGGCCCCAAGAGGGTCCCAAGACGGGCCAAGAGGCCTCCAAGACGCCCAAAATGGCCTCCAAGACGGCCCCGACGCGCCCCAAGAGGGCCCCAAGCCCGTTCAGAGAGGCACCCAAGACGGCTCCCGACGGCGTCAGACGGGCCAGGAACGCCCTAAGATGGCCAAAGAGGCCCCCGAGAAGTCCCAAAAAGGCCCCAAGGGGCCCTCAAGAGGCTCCAAAAGAGCCCAAGATAGCACCAACATGGCCTCCAAGACGGTCCCAAGATGGCCCAATCGAGCCCACGAGTACCTCAAGAGGCTCCGAAGAGGCATCCCCCCCTTCTCCTTTTTCCTCATTCTCTTCCTCTTCCTCTTCGTCCACAACATGTTTTCCGACGGCTTTCAAAACCGACTCGGGGAACACATGGTCCGATAGCTTCGCCCCCCAAGATGCCTCAAAGACGGCCCAAGATGCCTCCGAGACGGCCTAACATGGCGTCAATATTTCCCAAGACGGCCCAAGAGGCCCCCAGGAGGCCTCCAAGACGGCCCAAGAGGCCTCCAAGAGGTCCTCCAGGAGGGCCCGAAGAGACCAAAATCATGAATTGTCCCTAGTGTTTGAAGGATTTTGGCATTTGTTTCTTCTCGCCATTCCGACGGCTCAAGACGGCCCAAGAAGCCTCTTCCTCTTCCTCTTCATGTTCATTCTCCCCCACGTGTTCCCCGAAAGCGTTCCAAACCGTCTCGGGGAACACATGACAGCTTGGCCAAGCTCTAGCCCAACTCTCGGCCACACAGGCGTTTCCAAAAAGGCAGGGAGCCCAACGATTCGCCACAGAAGCACATCCCACATAGGCGCTTCCGAAAGTGCAGGAAGCGGCGGTGATTCGCCGTAGGCGTGTTCGATAACGCCAACGTCTCAATATGCCCTGATGATTCCTATCAGCCCCCACATGATATTCCCTGATGCGACAAGGCTGCGCCGAGACGCACCGGCGCCACTCTGATGTATCCAATCATGATAGAGAGGGGGCCGGCGGAAGGGGGCGAAGCCCTTACGGATATACACACGTAAGTGTTACATTATATGCAGATTGAAGTTTATGATTACACATATATACGTTTGTTTAAATAAATATTTATATGTATAAACAGATAAGTACAAACACCTTCCGATTCACTCACAGTGATGAATATACGTATGACTATACTTGTATGCACATGCACAGTTATAGATGTGCGTGTAGGCATGTACAAATATCACGTGGCGGATGTCGGAAACCCTGAACCCAAAAATGTTGTAATCTCTTGGGGACGCATGTTTACTTCCATCACCTTCCGCTGTCCTTCCGCCGCCCTTCCGCAGACAGAGGCGGCATCGTTTCACTTCCACCGCCTTCCGCCGCCCTTCCGCCGCCCTTCCGCCGAGGAAGAGACGACAAATCCTTCGATCATCGAAGGCGAGGCCCTTCCTGGAACGCCTCACGTGTGTGAGCAGGCATGTGCAACAACCTCCCCCTCTGTCAGCCTCCCTCCTCCTCCTACCCCTCCTCCCCCTCCCCCTCCCCCTCCTCCTCCTCCTCCTCCTCCTCCTCCTCCTCCTCCTCCTCCTCCTCCTCCTCCTCCTCCACCTCCCCCTCCTCCCCTGTCAGCCTCCTGCTTCTCCCCCCTTCTGCACCTGCCCTCGGTCATGCTCCTGCTTCGGCCTCTGAACAACGTCCCTCCTCTGGTGCTGCTGCTTCTCATCCCGGGCATTGGAAGTCTGCGCCAACCAGGTCGCCGAATGGCGCATAGATCCAGAAGTGGCGCGAGAACAAACGGGGACGAGAGACTGCTAGAAAAAAGGCAGGCTGGGGTGCAAGGTGACAGTGAGCGGCATCCAAACGCACATGCAGCAGGGAGGTGGCGTCGATAAATCGACAAACAAGGGGCCGAGGACGACACGAGGGAGACGAACGAGGACAGAAGTGCGCATCCCTTCCCTCCCGTTCTCACCATCCCCTGTTCTCCCCCTCCCCTTCTCCGACACTTCTGCCGATTGCGGGATATGAGACGACTGAGTCAAGGACAGATAAGCAGGGCAATCCTCAGGCTTGGGTACCGAATTGAGACACGCACGAGCCGACTGGAGCCACCTCGTACTTGCCCCAGCCGTGGTACTCCGATCCCACGAGGCCGTCGGCGAACGCGCGGCGGGGAGCCTTCCATCTGCGCCTTCCTCTCCTTAATGCACTCCTCGTCCTACCTTTTTATCATCCTTCTCCTCCGCCTCCTCCACATCATCACCAACTCCTGCACGATTGCCACAACCGCCACCCCCTTCACCGTTTCATCATGAGGCCTGCGAAAGCGGACCCAAAGCAAAGACAGAAGTCAAAGAACTTGGCACCCCAGTAGCACACAAGGTATACCCGCCAGACAACTACCCACGTGCAATAATTCATGTTGCTCCCTGCGCCCGCAACCTGGACGAGTGGTGAGCTTCGACGATAGGTGTTCTCTGGATGTGCATGTCGTCATACACTGCATTCGACAGATCGTGTTGTTTGCCCATCAGCGACGTATCCGCTGGTCAAAACCCCATAATGATTGCTGAAAATTGAACTTCCCGACCCTGCACATGTAAGGAGCTACAGCTTTCCGCTTTCTAGCGGATACCCAGCACTTCCACTAACCCAATGCACATTGCTTAAACTACCTGGTCTTTACTAACTGATCAACAACTTCTCACTCCGAACCAAGTCCCACGTATCCGCGATATACGTGTGGCCCGATGGTCATAATCCAAGGTGTCCATATCGCCGTATCAAGCTACCCGTTGTCAGAATTATGCGAGCTTGCTCACACATTCGGTGATACCGACTCTGCGTCCGCTGACTATCATCAACGATGCATTCCGTATTGATCATGATCGATGCTCGTCGCTCGTTGCCAGTCGCCCTTTGCCCATTTCAAGTTGCGGATTGTTCATGGGTCGCTGGCCGGTTCTACTGCTCCAGACTTCACAAACATTTGCCTAGGCTGACGGATCCTTATTGGCGACCCCACACACACACACTTTGCAACCACTTTGCTTGTCCAGTACCTGCCAAATGAAACCAACAGCTAGAAATTGAAAGTGATATTACTCCGGGGTAACATTTTGGGGGGGGTCTGATTTGAGCTGTCTTGGAGGCTTCGGGGGAAGTCTGGGCAAAAGGCCGCCCTTTCATGGATGGTCTGGGGGGGGTCTAAAACTTCTCGTCTGGGAGGGTTGTGACACCCTTCTTTTATTACGAAATCTGGAGTACCCACTCACACCTATCAACCCGTCCGCAGTTTCCGAGTCTATACGCAAATCAAAACTTCGTCGGCACCGAATGTGCAGTACCCATAACAAAGTACACTTTGACGAGGACGCCCAGCCCGGCATGAGCACCAGGGGAGAAGGGCAAGGAGTAGCCGACGAGAACGACGAGAACGATGGCGACAACAACTACGATGACGACGACGACGACGACGACGAAGAAGAAAACGACGACGACGACGACGACGATGACGAAAACGAAAACGGAAACGACCAAGGCGACGACGACGACGACGACGACGACGACGACGACGACGATAACAGCGCCGGCGACGGCGACGGCGACGGCGACGAGGGCGGCTGCTGTGGCGACGGCCGCGGCGGCGGCGGCGGCGACCCCCCGAAGCGGGCCGCGCTGCGGCGCGCCACCGCCGCCAGGCCGGCAGCGAGGCCCACGGCAAGGCCGAGGCTCAGCGGGGACGCGGAGGAGCCAGCCCCAGCCGCCTCCGCGGCGGTCGAGGGTCGAAGGTCGGAGATCGGAGATTGCCTGCCCGTGCTCGGCTTTCGGGGGGGCCCTCCTCGTCACCACGGCGGAGCGGAGCTCGAAGAACTGGCCAGGCTGGGCCCCAGGAGGGGCATAGGGGACTAGCTCTGGGCGGATCTTGACGAGGAGGTTCGAGGATTCCGATTTCAGACCTTTCTAGCCCTGTTCGAGCCACCAGAGGTCAGAGGCCTCCAGAGGCCTCTGGGAACCGCTTGGGACCACGAGAGACTTTCAGACGTTCTACGGGGACCAGTTGGAACAGGTTTTGGCTTGACGACACAAAGACGGCGGCGGCGGCGGTAATGGCGGTGGCGGTGGCGTTGTGGCGGCTGTGGCGACGGCGATGGCAGAGGCAGCTGCGGCGACTGCGACGACGACGGCGACGACGATGCGGAGGAACCGAATGGGACGAGGGTGGGAGAGACGGGGAGGGAGGGAGAGGAAGCGGAAGAAAGTATGGAAGAAAGAAGGGGCGGCGGGGGCGTTTCTTTTGTTATCTCTCTCTCTCTCTCTCCCCCTCTCTCTCTCTATATCTCTATCTCTCTGTGTGTTTCTCTCTCTCTCTCTGTCTCTCTGTCTCTGTCTCTCTCTCTCTCTGTCTCTCAATCTCTCTATTCCCCTCTCTCTCTCTCTCTCTCTCTCTCTCTCTTTTTCCCCCTCTCTCACTCTCTCTGTGTATATACACATATATGTGTGTATGTATGTATGTGTGTGTGTATGTATGTATGTATGTATGTATGTATGTATGTATGTATGT